CTGTCCACAAAGCCAATGTTTTCTCCACACGGGCCCCTAACGCTAATATTGCTAATTTATCTTTCCAATATGATAATTACATTTATTTGCAAACTGTTACGTCAACATTTAAATCGGGGTCAGCCCGTCGCAGCAGGGAAGATTTATTTACATTCAGATCTTCGCACAAAATTACAAAGATTAGGCGCGAGACGAAGAGAACAGTAATAATTTATCTTTAGCTCGAACTGTTCAGATTTATATCTTCGTACACGATCGGTGCAAACACCCAGATTGTTATCTTTACTTACAACGTTTTCGCTGCGTGTACCCTGTTGACTAATGGAGTTTGCGTCGCAACCGGTGTCATGGCTGATATCAGTCAAAAGAGCCATTCTCTGCAAACTTTTGTAGACTGGCAATGTAAGAGTTTGTCAACCCTGATGAATAAGTTCAACTTGTTTGACACTTGCCCCGTGGAGACAACACGTAAAAATTGGGCGGATCGATCTATCTTCACATTGAATTCGATCCTTACAATGCGATTGATCTTCACAATAAGTTTGGGCGTCGGTGTTCTGTCAACACTTCGTAGAGCACTCATATACTAGCTTGAGAGCGCAGTTGAGCTGGAATCGTGGACACCACCTCACTGAGAAACGACAAGAAAATGAATGATGAATCTTTTCCTCTTGCTAGCGGTCGACGTGTCATGTAGAACCGTTTCGAATGGTCAATGTTACGCACACCACAAGCACTTCCATACAATTCATGCAGCAAACTGCGCCTTCCCCATCTGTAGATCCATATTGCCTGCAAATAGATCTCAAGTGGTCGTCCAACATTAATGGCACGACGGCGCGAACGAGTTCAGTCACTAAGACCCGCACAAAACTTGGGAACACGCCGTACGATGCAACCAAAAAAAAGAGAAGCGACCCGTTTGACGTGCGGTGTATGCAAAGCTGACCCACCAACTAAACAAAGGCGTCGCACCGCTCGTAATTACTCCGCAATCCATCATCGGTCGGCGCGAACAGAACTTGTCGCTGCAGTCCCTCTGTTCCTCCACGTGATTGACCAAAAGCGCGTGTTCCGCAGTCGACGGCTCTCCCTCACTTGAGTGACTGCTCCACCCCTTTCAGTGCCCTCTTCCCCCTCGGCTCCCCGCCACCCCAATTATCCCCACAAGCGGACCACTCACTCACTCGCGTTCGTTCGTCCGTTGTCGACCGCCTCAAGTCGAGTTCAGTCCCGACCTTTGCCCGCCCGCCCGCCCACCCGCTACGACCGACCGCAAGGCAGCAGCAGTCCGTCTCCGTCGCCCTCCGCACTGCATTTTCATTTTGTGTGTCCTGCATACCCCAATGGCCGACCAAGTGGACGCTGCCGCCGGCGTCGATGCGCAAGGGCCGTCGTCCGCGTCGTCGTCCGCGCAGTGGTCCGAGCACAATGCGCCCAACGGTCGCAAGTACTACTACAATGCCGTCACGGGCGAGTCCACGTGGGAGCGGTGCGTCTGTTTTTCTGCCCTGTGCCACATGCTATAACGAGGAGGGATTAACGTACTAAGTGCTCACTTCTTGTGTGTGTGCTCTCTCTCTCTCTGTCTGTCTGCCTGTCTGTCTCTGTGTTTCTCTGTGTTGTGACAGACCGGCCGAACTGTCCATGTCAGCTCTGCAAGCGGAGTTGCCTCGTGCTGGCGCTCCTCAACAACAACAGCAGCAGCAACAGCACCACCACCAACAGCAGCAGCACCAACAGCCGTCGGCTGCAGGGTTCCCGCAGCCTCAGCAGCAGCTGGACAGCCAAGGACCACAAGGTACGTTGAGGGGAAGCTCGGGGCAATGGGCCCTGTTGACGCTCGCACGCATCTTGTGGCGCAGCAGCTGTTCTGACTGTAGTATGGATCGTTTGCGTTATGCAGGTGCTGCAGCAGCAGCTTATGGAGGCTATCCGCAGCCGTATGGCCAGCCGATGCAGTATCCGCCTCCGTACGGAGGTAGTGGCTACATTTATCCGTTTCCGCAGGCTTACGGTACGTCACTGATAGGATCATAGTTACTGGACACACTGTGTACTGTGTAGACGAAAGATTCTGAGTATCGGGATGACATGCTTGATAAACAGGGTACCCGCCGCAGATTGTGGGTCCGGGTCCGCCGATCCAGACGACGGAAAGTGGCCAAGGTGCGCAAATTTGTAGCCGAGTTGTTGCTTTTTCTGTCTGTCTTTGTAGGTCTTGCGTGTTGTGCATATGAACTAAATGTTGACCATCACCACACCATCACCTGCGTGCGTGTGACTGGGAAACATTGCGTGTGATGTATTGCTGCGTACAGGACCCCCTGGATGCAACCTGTTTGTCTTTCACATACCGAACGACATGACTAACCAGGATCTCTTCAACTACTTCGCTACGTTCGGCAATGTGATTAGTGCTCGAATCATGGTGGAGAAAGAGACTGGAAGAAGCCGCGGCTTTGGTACGCAACGGCAGCGCACGCATCTCTGATTGGACTGGGGGAAAGGGTGCTTGCCGCACGAGAGCTGACTTGCTGTGATGGTACAGGTTTCGTGAGCTACGACAATGCCCCGTCTGCTGACGCTGCGATCAAAGGAATGAACGGCTTCCAGGTTGGCCGCAAGCGCCTGAAAGTGCAGCATAAGAAGGAGAAGAGCCAAGGTCCTATGTTTGGCGACATGTCGGGACACATGGACAACAACGGCAATGACATGGGTGGCCAAGGTCCAGGCGCTGCTTCGATGCCTCCGGGCAACTAGAGCGCCCGTCAAGAAAAGACGAAACGCTGCCACATAGTGGGGCAGTGTGAGGGATGGGAGGGGACGAGAGTCAGGTGGTGAAGAAGAGCGAGCTTGTTCGTGTGGAAGTGAGGTAAGGAAAGTTTGGGTGGTATGACGGAGGTCGTCTGCTCGCCACGGCACGGTGCAAGCTGAAGTTTGGATGATTGGGTGGAAGGAGATGAAAAAGAGCAGATAGCGAGAGAGAGAGCGCGAGGTGTGAGGTACAGCGGCATTGGTCGGTCAGAAGCAGGTTTTTATTCGGGCAGCAACGAGGAGAGCGGGAGGGTACTCGAGTTTGTGTTTCCAGGATGCACGTTCGGTGGCGTTTGACCTCAGAAAGGGGTTGTAGGTACTTGGTACATACGTAGCATTAGCAAACAGTGGCGACGCCGACCTTGTAACAGCAATGACCTGTGAGACCGCTTTCGTGCTTCGTATGTATAACCCATTGTCGACCGTTGGCGCAATTGTATCGCTTGCGCGCGAGAAGCTGTTCGTTGACGTAAAAAGACGGATCGAGACACGGCGTCTCGTTCGTTCTGACAAGTCAACAACGACTGAGTCGGTTTGGTACAGTTGCAACGCGGTCAAAGGTCGAACGGAGTCGATCGGGTAACGTTGTGGCGTGACGAACCCATTGGCGTTCGTGCAGCGCGCAGCCAATCACTCGTTCCCGTCAAAGAGCTGCAGCGTGAGGTCAGTGTCGGCATCCGCCACAGCTGCAGATACGCCGTCTTCCTCTGCCACGAGCTTCCGGTCCAGCGGAACGTACCGCGCATTTTCGGCCCCCGCATAGAAAAGGCAACGATCTTTGCTGTGTGACGCGTTGCCCGCGCAGGTGGGACGAATGGTCCGTTTCCACGACGCAGCAGCTTCGCTGGTCATTGAAGTGCCAGCTAAGATTCACACACATCCACCCGTCAATGGGCAGCTGGGCCACACTTGCCCGTGGCTGTCGATGATTCGCGTTCGTCTGGCGGGACGACCTCCACCAGCCATACGTGGCTCGTGCTTGCACGCTGTCGAGCAGCCACAAGGACGACGCAGATGAGAGCTCCTCACACTTCTCCCACTCGAGCACATGCACGTGGTACCACTCACTGCACAAGAAGGAGCTGCAGTGACCACCGGATTGTGTGGTCTCGCTCGGCACGTGGTCAAGCGAAAGTCCATGAGCTTCGAAGATAGCGTTGCATAGCCCCGTTGCGGGTCCACCCATCGCGAAGCTGTGGTGAACGGCTTGCAGCAGCGAAGTTGAGCCTCGACATCGGCGCGGACGACCACTGGTAAACAGAGGACGATAGGAAGCACACAGTGTCTTCGGGAGCGTCCGGTCCCGAGCTCGCTCTCGGCACCAGACTTTTCGCTCCGACTCGCTATGTAGCCAAGTCTACGTGTCACGCGTACCGTAGAATCCAGGCGAGTATCCTGTGCGACCTCATCAGCTGCGCAACTGGGATCCTGATTCGGCTCTTGCTGCGTGATGTCGCCGTGGTACAGCTTTGTTTTGGCTCGTGTTATGAGACAATAGTCGTCGCAGCTGGCTCGCGTCGTCGCTGCAGATACAACCTGGCGCTCGTCTTCGTGCTTGTCGACAGCCGCTGCGGGTGAAAACCGGACATCCTCAACCCTCCAGTGTCAAAGCAATGCCCAGCTGCGCCCAGTGGTCAGCAGCATTGTCTCACTTGACGACATCAAGTGGTTGTCACTGTGGTTATGCGATCGAGCGACGATCAGCCGGTGGGAACGCGCTTGCTGGCACTATGCGGGCTACTGCCAGAACCAATGCTCACTCCATCGAGCGAGCTGGTCTTGGATTGACACACGAACGGATCGTTCGTAATTTCACGTGTAAGAAAAGGAGGATGTGCTGACCATTGGCCCGCATTCACAAAGGTTGCGATGTCGATCTTGCTGTGTGCAATTCTCTTTCGCTAAGTCATCGAGTGGTGAACGTGCACATCGCTGATTGCGCCACATTCGCACAATGAGTGAGCAAAACTAGAGCTCAAAGTTGGTGGCGTGTTGAGAGCGAATCTGCTGACTTGTCCACAGAGCATTGCTTCGTAGCTACCCCTTCAGCAAGTAAAGCCACGCGAAGATGGTGTTGTCACAAGCCGCACAACGATGGGTCGGTAGTCACAAGCCGCACAACGAGTGATCGGTTTCTGTCAAGCAGTGCGTAGTCTGGCTCACTGCTTTGCCGGCAAAGTAGGCACGTAGGCCTGCGACGCGGCATCGTCATTCACGTCGATCGGCACGCGGAATGTTAGCGGATACTAGGCGGCCGTATGTAAATAGATCCAGCTGTGATGAACCGAGTCGATCGTTGTAAGGTCGTAGGTGACAGCTGGCGTTGCGACCTCTGCCTGAGCGCCAAGTGGATTCAACACGTGACGACACTCCCGACCTCGACCAAAATAATTAGAAGCTCTGATACAAACGTTGCGCTGTGAGCCTCGAAGAGCCGCACTGCATGGCATACCGGCGTTTATGTTCTCAATAGAGTAGCGCTGTGATGTGCGGTATCTTTCTTGCCAATGCGTGGGGATCGGTTTGCACGCGGTCAAACGCGCCAGTTCCGCCGTCCGGAAACCGAAAAGCGTTGGCACCTTTCACTTCACCAGCTCGCTCTTGATACTAGGAGTCTGATACGACGATCGTGAAGACCAAGCAGATTCGTGTAGCTGTGCGATTCAAACAGCGTCCTTTATGCTTGCAGCTAGGGTTGTCAGGCGCTCTGAGGCTGATTGAGCACGAACATCGCTTGCCACTGACCGCAGCTGATTTCTCCATGCTAAAGTGGGGAGGGACAAGGGCTCGAGCATCGATATGTAAAGACTGAGTGACGTGAACGCCGTCTGAGCGCACCAGCGTGAGCTGGCATTTACTAGTTTTCACAGGATGTGGAGAATCAGCTGAGGAGCTATCTTCCGATCACAAAATGGAGCAGACGACACCGAAACAGTTACTCCATCCCGACCAGCCCGCCCCATCACGAAGTTCAAAACCGCGCAAGCGAGAGCTCCGAACTCGAGCCCGCGTGCTGTCGCCCACAGATCGTGAGCCTCGCACATGGCTTCAGCGTGCCGCGCCAATTGGCTACATTCATATCTTGCATAGGTGGAGAAAAGAACGAAACGTGGTCGGCATGCGAGAACGCTGTAAGAAGCACGCGACGAAATACCCCAACAAGCTCAGCGAGTTGAGAACAGATGGGCGCACAACGCAGTCTGTCGTAAATGCATGCTACTGCTCTGTGGGCTGATTGTGGAATATAGTACAACTGAACGTGCCACAAGCAGCCACACTGGCTATAAGATGTGGCAATGTAGTCGCTCTGAGAGAGGTTATTCGTGACGCGATGACTTCGATAACTGATAAACAGCGCATTTGCATCGAAGACGACATCACATCGTCGAATGACTACTCATAAAAGCTGCTACAGCGGCTGCGAAGCCCACTGCACACGAGGCTCGTATCATTGTGTACGGATCGATTGCAGGCTCCATATCGAGGAGTCTTGGGCGCTCGCAAGTGACGCGATCAGATGATCGCGTCTTTCTTGGCTTAGTCAAAATACCGACTTGGCTTATCAGTCAAGCTTTGCAGTATGGTCCACACCATCCTTTGTGCCTCGCGCGGCCCATGTGATTGCTGCGTGACGTCAGCTCTGTCGGCAGATCGATTGGATTGCGTCTATAGAGCCACCACGTTGCGCTTCGTGATGGTCAAGCGCCCACCAATCCATTGTTTGGATGCGCATCATCCACATTAACAACGTGGTATACCATCGCAGTTCTGACCCTCTAGCGCTAGTCTTCGCTCTACGTAAGCGATGGAGAAATTCCGTCAAAGCCCAGAGATATCGGACGCTGTAGCGATGTGGTCGTAACGTCCCAGAGCAGGGGCAAAACCTGAGTCTCCGGGCGGGCCGCGCACCGGCTTGAGCAGTTGCACCACCATCGGCCCCGGCGCTCACGCAGCGCTTGTGGTGTTTAGGGCGGAAAACAGGAAGCCCCGCCTCTTCTCTCGTGCGTCCTCCGGCTTTCCTGGCCTTCGTCCCAGTTCCAAGTGCGAGTGCTCTTGTTCAGCTGCGGGCAGCAGCAGCAGCAGCTCCAGCGTGAATAGGCAGGGGGCCAGATGAGCCGGCGAGGGAGATGCGTTGGTAATCCTGCAAGACTTGGTATCGACGATTGCATGTACCACCGTTGCTCGTAGAAAAGGGGAAACTGATCCAGAGGGCCGGATAGGTAGGTAGGTAGATCGAGTCTATCGAGTCCAGCGACGGCTCGCTCGACAGACTCGATCGACTTTCACTCCCTTCCTCCCTCACTCCTCCCTCACTCACTCACTCCTCACTCACTCACTCATTCACTCACTCCAACTTTTGCCCCACGCCGGTCAAGTGCCTCTTCCACCTCTGCTCTTCCCCCCCACTTACGCCAATGGACGCCTTCTTCCAAAAGCTCGCCAGCAGTCTGCGCTTCTCGTCGCCCCCGACCAAGCAGCCCAAGCCCGTGCTGCTGGCGTCGGGCAGTCCGCCCCTGCGGCCGAGCGCGCCGCCGCCGCACGCGTCGCCGCGCGACACGCCGCGCCGACGCATCGCGCACTGGGACAAGAAGCGCGAAAAGTGCGCCAACTGCAGCCACATTTACCTCAAGACGCTGAGCCAGCACCCGGGCTTCTGCTCGGTGGACTGCAAGTCCAACATGGTGTACCTCAAGAAGGTCAACCGCACGATCCTCGCGATGAAGGACGCACTGCACGAGCAGCGGCTGCAGCAGCAGGACGGGCCCGAAGACCACACGCAGCTGCAAGCGCAGCAGCAGCAGCAACAACAACAACCAAAGCCTCGAGACGACTCAGAGGGACTGCCGCACGAGCTGTCGCTCGACGACGGGCTCGACGCCCCGTGCAAAACCTTTGCCGAGTTTGGACTCGACGCCCGTATCCTCGACGCGAGTCACGTCGAGTGGGCGTTCAGCGCCATGTACTAACTCGAACTCGTGGGCCACACACATACCCACACCCACACACCACTGTGCACGCTATAGACGCTCTTGGCGCTGTAAAAAAGTCATGTAAATTAGAGCCAACGAGCCCCGTACCCAATTTGTCTAATCTGTAAATGCAAACCATATTCGCCACTGTGCCGTATCGCGCGCGATCTTTATCGGTACAGCACAGAGCTGTACGGAACCACAAAGGCGACGGCAAGAACGATAACAAGCGACAGCAGCACGTAAGACGTCGGCTGGAAGTGCCCCAACTCGCTGCGCTTTGGATCCGTCACACCACTCGATCGGCCGCGAGTTGTTTCCAGCGCCGCCCAGTGACTCTCACCACCGGTCAGTCTGTCCTCTCCTAAAACCTCCAGCGCGTCCTGCACCACTTGCTCCGCGTCTTCGTCGGGGAACACATATACCGTCGCGTCAAAGTGCGGGCTGGACGCGCCCACCGCGCGCCACGGTACGAGTCCTCGCTGGGGGAATCCAATGACTCCACCGCTCTGGAAAACTGCTGCAGTCGTCGGTTTGTCTACGCAGGACATGGACCATCACGTGTGTGTGAGAGCAGCAGCAGCAGCAGCGGGACGAATGCACCACAGATGCAGTAACGTACCGCGACTGTCATCGGTCCATCTCTCGCGTGCGAGCGAGAGGCGCACGCGCAACGACTTACTAAAGTCGCGCTTGAGGTAACGTGCCGCCACGTCCGCTGCTTTAGGTTCGCTCTCAGAAACAAACGCAATGCAGCTGATAGTGCCTTGAATTCCACCGAGCGGCTACGAAAAAACAAACAACAACAATAGCGTTGGGACGTGTTACTGTCTGCATAGATTGCTCGCGTGCACGTACCTCCTCGACCGATGGCCGAGACGGCGTCGGTGGCCGTGCCAACAAGTGCACGTGCTGAACGTGCGTGTCGTCTGTGGCCTTCGGCACGGCAACAGCCTCGTCCACCCGGCGGACCAGCGACTGCAACTGGTGCTCGAATTCGTCCAAGCGAGTATCAGCCACCTCCGTCGATGCGGTCGCCGCTTTTGTGGCCTCCGTTGCAAACACAATGGCCTCGTTGATCTCGACCAGCGTGCGGTACTGCTTGAACTTGATCTCTGCTGTTGCAGCCTTGGGAACCGCCGACGCTGTCTGCGTCTTGTTGACGTCCGTCACGTCGTCATAGCTCTGGAGCTCGAATGTGCCCTCTGGAGATACGATCGATACGTAATGGACGGTATCGATGGCAGGTGCGCTAGAGGAGAGCGCTACTGCCTCTGCAGCCGCACGGAGGTAGGGCACGACCCGCGCGAAAGCGTCGCTTGTCGAAACCACGTAGAGGCCCAGTACAGTGATACCCCCTGGCAAGAGGCGATCCACTTGTTGGGCAACTGCTTGCAGCCACTCGACCGAAACGTCCCCAAGTCCGGTCAGGGCGTCACCGCTCTCACTCTCCGATGGCAATGGCACGACATCAAGCACGAAGTCCCCTGCGTTCGAGGAGCTCACTTGGCCCACCATGAGACCCAACGCGAACGCAGACGTCGCATGACTGGACCAGAATGCGACCACTTGCGCCTCGACGGTCACTTGACGGGGACTGCCCATGGTCAAGTGAGCGCGCGAAAGGTGTCGTCGAGCCAACTGGAAGAAGACGGCGACAACGTCTCACCTTGTGCGCAATTAAACTGCAGGATCACTGCTCGAGAAGAGAACGATTGGTCGGTTGGGTGTGATAGAAGCGGCGAAAGGTCTCCACAAAGCACTAGGCTCGGTCAGTATCCGCTGGAATAGCTCGAGTTGTGGTCTCTCCTGCAAGTGCTTCGCCGTCGTGGGTCGTCGTGAAGCATTACGTATGACGACGTTCTTCATGTCACGGTGCAAGTCCGGCGTGATGCAGACGTAATGTGGTGATAGCATGCGCGCTCCTCACACGCGATGGTGTCTTGTCCCAACATCTGAACGACATGTGTTACTGCACCGCAAGCGGACACGTTTCGGAGACTTAAAGATTGTTTGGTACTAGGCAGAGAGGCATGTAATGGGACGTCTACATGGGCGAAACCACCATGTGGAGCGCAGCTGCTATCGCTGGCGACGACGTATCGACCACGTGATCGAAGTTGGTCCAACACGACGCACATAGCGACAGAACTCGTGCTGCGATACAGCGCACATTAGTGCCGTGTTGTCACGGCGCTCTCGGACATCATGCTGCCGACGAGATCTGCAAAGGCCCAATGTGAAGCACAGATCAGATAGAGACACGCGTGACCAACTCGTCAGTCGTCGTCGAGGTCAAGACCAGCGACAGCAGGAGAGGTCGATCGCGATCTCGAGAAGGGACTGGTCAAGCAGAAGACGTGTTTGAGGTGGCGATGGCACTTTAGTGTCAGTGGCGTGTTTGAGGTGGCGATGGCACTTTAGTGTCAGTGGCGTGTTTGAGGTGGCAATTGACGTGTTTGAGGGGACCATACAAATCGTCGTCGATGAGGGGGTCGAAAATATCAGCTACTCTCCTGACGAGAACATGACGACCGCAGCAGCGCTACACAGACTGCATTAAGCACTTGTACCGTCGCACGTCTGCGCCATGACACGGAGCATAGTTTCCACGGATGACGGCGAAGAAGATGCTCGAGCAATACGTCTACTTCTTTTTCGGCAACGAGATGCGAAGCACACCGAGAAGAGGTTGCGAACGAGGACGCCAGAGGGGACGCAACATGGAATATCTGCTATCTGTTGGCTGGTCAACCTGCCTGGAACAACGTTGGCGTACCGTCCCGGACGTGACGATTCTGTACCTCGACCAGAGATCGGGAGGGGGCAACGTCATGGTGCGTTGTCACTGGTGGCAGCAAACGCAGGCTATCGAGACCGAGTTGACAGGAGAAGTGCGACCCTCGTGGCCGCGATAGCATCACCTCGACGTGCGAATATGTAAGAGGTAGCAGACCGTCACGAGGAAGTGAGAGGACGTTGACAATCGCTGTGGCTCGAAGAGTGATCGTTCTTGACAAGGGCGAGCTCAAGGAGACGATGATGTGAAGACGGATGGCGCAGCAGAATGGGCTGCGTCATGGAGCAGCGTTTCGAATCAGGCCAAGACAGATGCGGCACCAATTTCTCGAAAGGCATTGTCAGTGTGCATGTTTTGAGACCATGCTGCAAGCTATCATTTGGAATGGTCTTTCGTCGGCGTGACAACAGCGAAGAGCTGCCTACGTTCTCGTACTCTATGCACGCACGACGTCTACACTGGGCAGAACAGTTGCTTGGCTAGCGAGAGTAGTGCCCGTCTGTGCACTTGTAGCTCCCGACATCTCGTTCGCGCTGTCTGTCGCTAATGCATTGCTTGGTCGCCTGCTGCACCCGCAGCTTTCCCATGAACACACATCTCGGCAAACGAGTGATAGGGTCTAGACAAAAACCTGTCGACTTTTCACATGCGTATCTAACGTTCGTATGCGCATGGGAGCGTCGACGAGTGGAAAGCCTCGAAAGCGCTGGCGTTGCGACGCGAGAGAAGTATGCCCGCTTTGCCGTATCTTCCATTTTTGGCTGAAAGACCCGAGCAGAAGAAACCGACACGACGTCGGGGGAAAGCCAATGCACTGTCTCCATGGACTGCTGCAAAGCTTCCTGCGGGGCGTCAACTTTTTTGAGCTCGGGATAGTGCACACTGTCCAAGCGGACGGCAGAAATACCGTGCGTGCACTGTGCAACGCGAGCGCTCACCAATCCGTTCGGTTCAGCGCGCGGGAGCGACTGGGGAGCATTGTCGTCGGGGGAACCAGGCGGCGGGCGGTCTATGGACAACATCCATGCAGCCCGATGCATTCGGATCTGAGCCCGTCACCTGTCACCGATTGATGCAACGATGGACACGGGGCAAGTCCTGAGTCCTCTGCTCTGAGCAACGCGATTCCCAAATTTTCACGGTTCAGCTCAAGCCAGTCTTTTTCCCTTCGGGGCAGTCACGTCGGAGGGAATCCTCCCCTTGGGGAGCCGACGTGGTCGAAGATCTGACGCGGGCACGCTGCACTCGCAGTCGCGGGTGTGGGCGTAGGGGACCGACGGGTCGCGCAAGCGGCCCTAGCAGGGGTGTTTTACGGACTGGAGGCGTACCCCGCGCCACGTGTCGCCGCTGCGGCGAGCGCACACTCCACGTCAAGGGGCCGCGCAAGCGGCTGAAGGGGGCCACATTCGCAGATGGTTGAGCTCCTCGGAGAGATATACGGCGGGTTGGCGTTCTCCACGCCACGCAGTCACTTCGGTGATCGCACTCCACGTCGGGGGCCGCGCAAGCGGCTGAAGGGGGCCACCATCGCAGATGGTTGAGCTCCTCGGAGAGATATACGGCGGGTTGGCGTTCTCCACGCCACGCAGTCACTTCGGTGATCGCACTCCACGTCGGGGGCCGCGCAAGCGGCTGAAGGGGGCCACCATCGCAGATGGTTGAGCTCCGCGGAGAGATATACGGCGGGTTGGCGTTCTCCACGCCACGCAGTCACTTCGGTGATCGCACTCCACGTCGGGGGCCGCGCAAGCGGCTGAAGGGGGCCACCATCGCAGATGGTTGAGCTCCTCGGAGAGATATACGGCGGTTTGGCGTTCTCCACGCCACGCAGTCACTTCGGTGATCGCACTCCACGTCGGGGGCCGCGCAAGCGGCTGAAGGGGGCCACCATCGCAGATGGTTGAGCTCCTCGGAGAGATATACGGCGGGTTGGCGCTCTCCACGCCACGCAGTCACTTCGGTGATCGCACTCCACGACGGGGGCCGCGCAAGCGGCTGAAGGGGGCCACCATCGCAGATGGTTGAGCTCCTCGGAGAGATATACGGCGGGTTGGCGTTCTCCACGCCACGCAGTCACTTCGGTGATCGCACTCCACGTCGGGGGCCGCGCAAGCGGTCCTAAAGGGGTTTGTTGCCTTATATGGCAGCATACCCGCGTTGTACGTGCTTCCGCTCAGGCGGTACGCATGTCCCCAGTCTACTTGGTCGCGCCAGCGGTCATGATTGACTCGTAGTTGGCTTCGGTAGGAGGGTCTCTGACCTCGTTGCCGTCGCCCCTGGCTCTACGGAGCCCTTTAGTTGTCGACCCGATACCCGGGCCGTACTTCTTGTCACACTTATCAGTCGTTAGTTATCATAATAATGGACGTACTTGACACCACCACCTCTGCTCTGAGCAACGCAGCCGGTGCGCGGGAAAGAGAGCCACCCCGAACAGTTTTTGGACTAGTAAAGAGCGAACAATAATCAAATCATCACCGAGCTGAGTTTCAGCTGAGAGGCGGTGGAAACAATTCGTTGAGCGGTGCAACAGTAGACTCACGCGGGGACAGAAAACCTGCACGATATACAGACCGACGTGGTCGACTGCGGTAGCGTTGCCACAAACGCAGCAGTCGATGGCGCTCTCCTTCTAAGTGGGCATCTCCTCGCCGCATTCGAGTCGACAACATGGAAAGTAGCCGAAATCTACATATCTTCGTGCGGTGCATCTCTGACAGCGCAACGATACAATGCTGTGCACTGCGCACGACGCGCAGAATGTCGATCGACTGCAGGTTGGCTTCCTGCCATACGAGTGCTTCGGTTCGACCAGGACGAGAGAGCTTTTTGGCTCTTTTAGCCCTGGTCAAGCGTGACGATCTAGGGTTTCTCAGCGTGTGGTGCTGCAACGGTTGCGAGTAAGATACAGCTCGCTCTTCTTTTCTGTCCGGGATGCTGTCAAAACAACTGCGTACACTCACACCTGCGTGACAATTTTGTCGTGTCGCGTTTTAGTGCGGTGTATCAAGACGCTTTGCGATCCTTTACGGCTGAGATAAGGTGCGTGTCAAACGCCACACTGCGACCCCGTCCGAGCCTCGGGAGGCCCTCGTCTCGTCTTGAACTGGCAACAGATACTCGTTCGCTTCTAGCTCGCTAAAGCCATTTGCTGGCCGAGTAGCAGCAACGACTGGCCCAAATGGAACTCAGCCAGATGAGCAGCGACTGGTCCACGTGCAGACAGCCAGCTCTTGTCGCATTCGGACACATCAGCCACTCTTGCTCGGACAACAAACGGGGCGCACGGGATGCTCGGTCTCTGTTTATATGTGACAGATCGGAGCCCAACGAGAGAACGGACGCGGACCAACTCAGGATTTCCCCGCTGTGCTGTCGATGGCTGAAGCCACCTTTTCGCTATACTTCAACTCCTAGCTCGGCTGCTCCGCTCTTCTGCACACACTCCCGCGTGCGTACAGACAGCCCCATCCGTTGCAAGAAACGATCGCCATGTCGACGCTGTTTCGTTCCGGGGGTGACGACTAAACTCTTCGCTCGCGTTGAAATCTTCTGGAGACAAGTGGACAGATGGGCGACGACAAGCAGCATCGAGTCCCTCTCTTGACGATGAGTGCACCTGTAAGTTGTTGTGGTAGGCTCGTTCCAGCTACGATACAGACGCGCATGCCCAGCTTGTTTGTAAGTCCGACAGAGGTTAGCTGGATAGCATTACCAGTCAAGTTGTGCATTTCCAGTAGAGTGTATCGACGTAGTTACGATGATCCAAGGAATGAAGGTATTTCTCTATTGTAAACGGCGTGTGGCGCTTCGTACACCTTACATTGCAATCTCTATCATGAAGCTCTAGTCTACATTTGGCTTGCGCATCGCTTAGCACACGGTACTAAACGACCACTCAACGTTGTCCGCGTCCAGCAGTCGAGACCCGAGGTCAAAGTCAGCGAACGACTGCGCGTGCAACAAGTTGTGCGAGGCGTCGGCGCCGGTTTTCGAGGAGGTCAGGGTCGGCTGTAGCTTAGGCTGCTGGTCGACTTCGATCTGCGGTAGCTCTTGCTGCGCAGTCGGCTCTTCCGTGCGCACTTGCTCTTGGGTGAGTGCTTGCTCTCGGACGAGTTGGCACTCGTCCACCGCGTCCTTCATGGCGCGGATGGACCGGTTCACGTCCTCCAGGTAGACCATGTTGGACTTGCAGTCCACGGAGCAGAAACCCGAGTGCTGGCTCAGTGTCTTGAGAAAGATGTGCTCGCAATTGATGCACTTTCCGCGTTTGCTGTCCCAGTACGCGACACAGCGAGGCATGAACGACGCCACTCCCTCAGATGAGGTGGGCGTGGTAGACGTATAGTCCTTGCTCGTCGTACACTTCTGCAGGCAGGCGTCCATTGTCGTATAAACGGGTGTCTTGGGGACGCGGAGCAAATCCGAAAGTGAGCGAGGCTGTTCGTAGACACTTTTTGCTCCCAACCGCAGCGAGTGCCATCTGCTGCAGGACTCGAGCTACAGGCTTGTGATTCAGCAACGGGACATGGCCACATGCAGCGAGTACCGAGACTGGACGCTCGAGTTCTCGTGAAATACGGACCGAACGTGTATCGAGCTGGTGCCGAGCAGGCAGCCCATTCAGACCAGACGCGGCCGCGTCAAGGCAGTGCATTTATCGGCGTGTAGTTGCCAGCATTTTTTTCACGCTCTTCCTTCGAGGACCTTTTGACGTAGGGCACTGTCGCGAAGCCTGCGCGACTTGCCCAAACCTCCAGCTTTCGACGTAGCGACGCCCTCTGTCGTCAAGTCATCGCAGAACACGTGGCAAAGTTAATTGAAATCCCATTGCAGCTGGGCAGCCAGCAAGTGTCAAGTGGGAGATCTGCTGTCCGGGAACAGAGGAGATCGATCAGCTGAGATCAGGGCAGCACCATCTCCTCGTTTTTTTTTTCTCATTCGGCAGTCTCCTGGCAGACTGCACGAAGCGAGCGGACTCAGACTCAGTGTGCTGGAGAGGAACGCGAACGTCGTCAATCGCGTGCTTGCTCATGCTCTATGCTCCGCTCGGAGCCCGGAGCCCGCCGACCGTCTCTGTACTGCAGAACGTACAGTGTACACTGCAAGGGGTTGCGCGGGCAGCGAGACATGTGCGACGCTTCCAGATAGCCTGCTTGCGCCACGTGTGACCATGCTGCACCGAGCAGCAGCAGTAGCAGTAGCACACGCCCCACTGATCGCACTGCCGCGGGTTGCTGGACCCACATAATTTCGTGCTCTCGTACGGTGTGTGTGCGTTAGAGGATCGTCTGAATATGCTCTCGCGTCTTTTTGCTACGCGCACGACGAACGCCTTTCACGACGGATTGTCCAGGAGTTGAACAACTCAGTCCAACGTTGGCGGCCACTGCTTTGGTTTTTTGCATGGGCAGCTGACAAACGGGCAGACCACCGTCCGTGCAAAGAAGGACTGTCAGGTCTGCCACGGGGAGATTCGTTGTGGCAACGCGGTCGCCCCTTGGTAAACTTTCTTGCGCAGAGTATCACGTACTAATCTTCGCAACGCTCTTTTGCAAGACAGTGGCGGGATCTGCACCCCCGCTTCCACTTTCCGGGAACTCGCTGAGCCGGCCAGATGGTCCGTCGACATGGCGAAAACACACAACATCGAAATACCTCGCCCTGCTGGGCGCTCCTGCGGGCCGTATCATATTAGCACACGTCTTGTCTGGTCACGCGCCTCACAACGGCAAGCCGTGTCGATGTCGGTGATACGAAGATACGCTTCGTGTTTTAACCAGACGTCAACTGCTACACTAACGGGCGTTCAGCGCAGCAGTCCTTGCTAGACCAACTTGCAATTCGAGCTCATTGTGAGTAGTCTGAGTGCAGATCCTACGGTGCATTCGCTCGACGATGAGTCGATCGGTAGAGCACCAGTTGAACCGATTGGATGGATTGAGTTTATCAAACAAGGGGTCTCTTTTTGTATTAAACATAGCGTCGCCCGCCACTGCACATCGTCAGATTGCGTCCTAGCTCGCAGCCACGTAATTTATCGACAAAGTACGATATACGATGTATTTTATTTTCGAACCAAATGACCGTACTTATGTCGTCGTGACATAAAATGTCAGTCCTTTATTCGTCTCCCACTAGTCATATATCAATTTATACAACTGATGCAGACATCCCCGATGGGACTATTTTTTGGCCACCCCCGATGGGACAAATACAGCCATCTTTAATACCATAAAAATTCCGACACTTTTTTTATTCCGACAACTATTCCGACACATAAAGAATGTATTTTCAATACAGAGGGTTTACAATCAGAAGAGCTGTATAATTGGACGCTACATGCGTTTTCACTGTACTTGGCTTTGGCCTGTGTTGACACTCACAACAGGCCGTTCGTCAAGAACAAGTGAGGCTCAATCCTCGCTGAACGGTGCTACAGGAAGAGACGTGATGCTGTACAACATCATTGCCGTTTGTATCTTGCGCTCTTATGCGGAGAGATAGAAGGACGCTAGTTTTAAAAGACAATGCCTTATCAACAAATTTCTGCTCATCATATTTTGCTTATAGAAGCACACTTACTAGATAAAATGCTGACATTGCTGTTTGGTGCACTTTGCATGGGCAGAAGCCGCTTCATCCTTACTAGGTAGATGAATTGTAATGGAAGGCACTTTCGATGTCTTCTACCATGTGCAATATGTCTTGTGATCTAATGGAAGTAGGTCCGACATAGCTTTAGTTGCAAACAACGCCTTGAACGTCACAATTTTCTTGTGTAAAGCTTTTTCATTGGGTTGCTGCACGAACTCAACATTGTTGGCACCAACGGATAGATTTTGCTTGCTTACAAGCGACAATTCAGACGTCCGACCGAAGTCATTTCACATTGGGCACACCAGTGCAGCGTCCTGGTAGTCCGCCGAACTCGTGGCAGTCATGTCCATGTGTTCCATAAGTAATAGAATCTCACCTTTCGTATATGATGCAGCTTTCTTTATGGATCCTCTCACCCTTGTCATGCATGGTCACTAGAGTGCGCGCCATCTCGAGTAGTATGTCGTACACGATTGATCTTTGTGAAGGAAATTGTTCTAGCAGCCACTACGTGACTTGTCTGTAAGAGGAAACCACAGATTTCTTCGCCAAAAATTCTCCATTGCTGCCCTTGAGGCAGGCGAAGTGCATGGCGAACTTCTCCATAACTGCGACGAAGCAGGCACCAGACAAGTCACTGGGACTGGGGATGGATGCGTTCAGCTGGTCGACTGTGACGGACTCTGACGCGAGGAATTTCTTGAAGTTGTTCACTGCCGTAGACATTGCCGACTTAGTGTTGGCTGGCATAAACGACTGGTGCTCATGTTTCTGTGTGCTGTCTAGTTATTGAAGTGTACGCTGCGTACAGAAATGTTTATATTCAGCTTACTGCGGCTAATGACTTAGCCTTTGTAAACTGCGCAGACATACTTACTCCAACTAAACCTCAGTGATTTCGTTATCGTGGAGGTTACTTTGCAGTAGCGTATAGCTACAATATTATAAGATTGAGTTAAACAGGTAATTAGTTACCAAGCTGCCAACTTTGTCGGAATCTCTTACAATATGCAACATAGTATGCGTTTCACTAGGCATTTGTATGGCGATCAAACATATTCTTAGCTTCATTCCGACAACATATGTCGGAATGGTGTCGGAACGAATTAGCCCTACCCCTAATCGTCTGATTTGCTGAGACTGCTATATGAAGGATCATGGATTGGCCATAATCAAATGGCAAATTCCTATTGGTCCACCATCGCATACTGAGGGCAAATGGATTTTTGTTTGTCGGAGTTGTGATCATATCCATCAACGACATACCGACGACGTGCGACGCCTCGCGTCCAACATCTAAACTCTACGGATCCATCGAACATGTGATAGTACAAATGCATAATGGACGTATCAACCATGCAGCATGTAGCATATCATTCGGTTTGCCTTACTTACGGCAACAGATCGAACGTAAGCTGCAGTCGCAAAATCATGTAGGTACGTATCATGCACCCTGCTTATTCCACGCTTCTTCTGCAGTCTAGCTAGATCAGGTCTTCCGCCAATATGGTCTTGTCGGCGTCAACACTACCTTTGCAGTAACCGCGTTGCGTGTTGTTGACCGACTTGCAGGGCAGCGCAAGTTGTCCATGGGCGCGAACCACAACTGGCAAGACTACCGATGACTTACCATTGCGTACCGTAGGCAGCTTTTGTTTCTCCTCATCGTCAAGTGGTGTTTTGGCAGTCTGCAGCTTATACGTAGTCGCTTGCTGCTGCGACGAATGGCGTCTTCAACACCTTAATGAGCTTTCTCCAGCGCGCAATTTTCCTTTATCGGGCCCCATAGCTCTTATCTCAATACTCTTTCATAGTGGTCATGAGGTGCCCTTGAAAAAGCTCACAAGGCAGCAAGCAGTCTTGTGCTTCTTGCGAGACCTGTGGTTTCATGCAGAAAAGAGGTGAATGTACCACTACGTTCATCTCTTTTTGAGATCCATGAGATGTCCAGCTGCAAGCGATGGCAGTCACTCATCCACGTCACGGACAGAGCTGTGAGGGTCGATGAGACTTGGCCTCATTTCTCCGTCGGGTAGTATGAGGCATCGACGTCTTTGCCGTCGCAGTGGTTCACGCATGCAATGGCAGGATCAGAGACGTGTCATCATGATCGAGTATAACGTATCCTCTCGTGCTACATGCGTATGTGATCAGAACAACAACAGGTACACTTTGAACGACAGGCGTAACAGATTGTCATTTACGCTATTGCAAACATGCACATAAAGGGCCACCACTTTATGGTCCGAAGGACCGTCTTGCACTGGGAGCAGAGCATGCGCTTTACTTGGTGGTCCAAAGATTGGCGCCTTCTTGCGCGTCCGCGTTCCACATAAACAAGTTCGCGCCCCATTTCACGCCTTCCGAAGGCGGACAACCACCGTGACGACTCATGGCGTCGGGAACGCCCTCGGGTGTTTGGACGTAGAAGAGTGAAGCGTGCAAAGCAAGAGGAGGCACGGCAAGGCCCGAAGAGCACTCGCCCATGCCATCGCGCACTATCTTCTCATCGGAATACCGATCCAATGAGTGGGGAAAAACAGTCTCGCCGCCGACCTTGGTCTGGTTGTTCAGGTACAGAAACAACGTCACGTAGCGCTGCGGGTTGAAGTGCTGTACGTAGATAGGCAGCTTGTAGCGCAGCTCTGGGACGCTGCCGATGTGTGCTTCCCACGTGCGGATCGCTAGCTCGCCAAACTGGGGAAACGCCTGAAGCACTTTGATCAGGACGTTATCGCGCCCGCGATTGGCCACCATCCAATCGTACCATTCCGCGTTTGCCATGCGCGAGACATAGCCCTGAGAGTAGTCATCAAGGATGAATCCGAGCAGCATCTCTTGAAAATCCACCCTGAACTGGGGATACAATTCCCCACCAGGGCGAGCAGCAGCCGGGACCTTATCTCCCAGGAAACTCACGCGTTCCTTGGCCCATTGAACCCACTGGAAAAAATGCGAAACAGAGTTCGTATCGTGCTTCGGAAATGTATAGCGCAGCTCGCCAAGGCCCAGCTCCTCTTCCCAGGTGCGCACGATGAGCGGCAAGTATGATGGGCGCCACGCCTCGTCCATCAAATCCCTTGTCATGTTCTCGGCACCGCTCTCCAGACCTGAAAGAATCCATTCGTCGTAGCTGGTATCGTACAAAGCCTTGAATCGGTTCGTCGTGTTCATGTAGTCACGGAATATCCCCAGAAGCGTATGAGGAAAAACGACGGAATCGCTGGCGTTCGGGAACAGCGGCCCGCCCTCTCGGAACTTCTCAGGAACCTTGTCCGGGTCCATGCCGCGAATCTTTTCTGCAGCCCACTCGGTCCACTCCACGTAGTCCTCGTACTTGTACAAGTTTGCGTCTTTCGGAAGGAACTTGCGTGAGTGAAAGGTGTCGAAGTGCTGCCGGTAAAACTCACCCGCACCATAGCGCACCAGCTGCATTTTCTCCACATACGAAGGGCTCGGAAGCCGTGCAACAAAAGCTGAGCGTCTTTGGAAATCTCGCGTAAACGCGCTGTCGGGCAAAAATGACGTGTGACTCGTGCGAGAGCTCGACTCCACCTTGGACGAATTCGTGCCGTCCACCATAGACCGGTTCAGCTTTGGTAGTCCGATTTCAATGGCCTGGTCCGCCTCTTCCTGAGTGATGAAGTATTGCACGTCAAGCACCTTGGGCTCAATCCCCAGTGTCGTGAGCGTCACACCGTTCTCCAGAACGTACTTGTAGCCTTTCTTGATCCCCGGCCATTGCCACAACTGGAAGTCCAGCAACACGTGGACAATGTTCTTGGTGTCGCGCAACTCGCTCGCATTCCGGACAGGCCAGCCTAGCTGACTGTAGAGACGCACGCCGTTCATCATCACGTCTCGGTCTGCACCTAGCCACACTGCAGCCATCTCGGCTGCCTGGCCGACACAGTCGAATTGACCGTTCCAGGATACGTAGACACCCTTGTTGGCGCCATTGAGCATGAAGAACACTCGGTCGTCACCCATTGGCTGCTCTGCCTCCATTGGCTCTGTCACGGGAAACACTTGGCCGTCAAACAGCGTCGACGCCGAATAGTCCGAGTCATTGCAGGTCAAGTCGCTCGCGAGGTGACGCACTTGTATGGCCACCAGGTCCGTCTCGTGTTTTACCGGGAGCGTCTCGGTACTGCCATTTCCAGCTCCAAACGTGGCTTGGCCAGCGCTCCACACGTGGTCCACGACTAAGCTCTGCAGGGTCTGGACAGACAGCGGCACGTCCACGTACGTGGCGCAACCCGCTGCCAGGAGCACCACTGCAGCAGACAGGACCAGCCAGAACGAGTGCAAGGTAGAGCTCTTGGTAGAGGCAAGTGCAGGTGGCGTGGCAGCTGCCGACTCGTCGTCGTCACGGCCGCTGCTGACGGTCGACGTGGTCTTGTGGTCCTTGTTGCCCATTGCGACGGTCGTGAATTTGGAAACTGACTCCCATTGACGCGTTTGTTTATCGTCAGCAGCAGCAGCAGCAGCAGCTATCGATCCGACACGGTCATTGGCTGATGTGCATTTAGTAGGTGAATCGTCAGTCGGCGGATACGTGGAACGTTAGCGAAGGGACGAAACGAGCGGAGCTGCCGAGGAGGTGGACGGTGATTGGCCGAAAGCAGCGCGCGCGCGAGTCTGACGCAGCACAGTGGCGAACTGAACAACCTGACGAACGGAGATGAGTGACGAGAAAAGATGGTCGCAACACTCCCGTCATTGGACACAGCGGAGTTGCGTGGCAACTACTCTGCCCGAGCGAACGCTGGCGAAACGCTGCTTTACATTTCTAGGTGTCGTAAGAATCGATGCGATTGAGTGTCCACGTTCACCGTTCCGTTTCCATTCCCAAATTTTCACGGTTCAGCTCAAGCCAGTCTTTTTCCCTTCGGGGCAGTCACGTCGGAGGGAATCCTCCCCTTGGGGAGCCGACGTGGTCGAAGATCTGACGCGGGCACGCTGCACTCGCAGTCGCGGGAGTGGGCGTAGGAGACCGACGGGTCGCGCAAGCGGCCCTAGCAGGGGTGTTTTACGGACTGGAGGCGTACCCCGCGCCACGTGTCGCCGCTGCGGCGAGCGCACACTCCACGTCAAGGGGCCGCGCGAGCGGCTGAAGGGGCCACCATCGCAGATGGTTGAGCTCCTCGGAGAGATATACGGCGGGTTGGCGTTCTCCACGCCACGCAGTCACTTCGGTGATCGCACTCCACGTCGGGGGCCGCGCAAGCGGCTGAAGGGAGCCACCATCGCAGATGGTTGAGCTCCGCGGAGAGATATATGGCGGGTTGGCGTTCTCCACGCCACGCAGTCACTTCGGTGATCGCACTCCACGTCGGGGGCCGCGCAAGCGGCTGAAGGGAGCCACCATCGCAGATGGTTGAGCTCCTCGGAGAGATATACGGCGGGTTGGCGTTCTCCACGCCACGCAGTCACTTCGGTGATCGCACTCCACGTCGGGGGCCGCGCAAGCGGCTGAAGGGAGCCACCATCGCAGATGGTTGAGCTCCTCGGAGAGATATACGGCGGGTTGGCGTTCTCCACGCCACGCAGTCACTTCGGTGATCGCACTCCACGTCGGGGGCCGCGCAAGCGGCTGAAGGGAGCCACCATCGCAGATGGTTGAGCTCCGCGGAGAGATATATGGCGGGTTGGCGTTCTCCACGCCACGCAGTCACTTCGGTGATCGCACTCCACGTCGGGGGCCGCGCAAGCGGCTGAAGGGAGCCACCATCGCAGATGGTTGAGCTCCTCGGAGAGATATACGGCGGGTTGGCGTTCTCCACGCCACGCAGTCACTTCGGTGATCGCACTCCACGTCGGGGGCCGCGCAAGCGGCTGAAGGGAGCCACCATCGCAGATGGTTGAGCTCCTCGGAGAGATATATGGCGGGTTGGCGTTCTCCACGCCACGCAGTCACTTCGGTGATCGCACTCCACGTCGGGGGCCGCGCAAGCGGCTGAAGGGAGCCACCATCGCAGATGGTTGAGCTCCTCGGAGAGATATACGGCGGGTTGGCGTTCTCCACGCCACGCAGTCACTTCGGTGATCGCACTCCACGTCGGGGGCCGCGCAAGCGGCTGAAGGGGGCCACCATCGCAGATGGTTGAGCTCCTCGGAGAGATATACGGCGGGTTGGCGTTCTCCACGCCACGCAGTCACTTCGGTGATCGCACTCCACGTCGGGGGCCGCGCAAGCGGCTGAAGAGGGCCACCATCGCAGATGGTTGAGCTCCGCGGAGAGATATATGGCGGGTTGGCGTTCTCCACGCCACGCAGTCACTTCGGTGATCGCACTCCACGTCGGGGGCCGCGCAAGCGGCTGAAGGGAGCCACCATCGCAGATGGTTGAGCTCCTCGGAGAGATATACGGCGGGTTGGCGTTCTCCACGCCACGCAGTCACTTCGGTGATCGCACTCCACGTCGGGGGCCGCGCAAGCGGCTGAAGGGAGCCACCATCGCAGATGGTTGAGCTCCTCGGAGATATATACGGCGGGTTGGCGTTCTCCACGCCACGCAGTCACTTCGGTGATCGCACTCCACGTCGGGGGCCGCGCAAGCGGCTGAAGGGAGCCACCATCGCAGATGGTTGAGCTCCTCGGAGAGATATACGGCGGGTTGGCGTTCTCCACGCCACGCAGTCACTTCGGTGATCGCACTCCACGTCGGGGGCCGCGCAAGCGGCTGAAGGGGGCCACCATCGCAGATGGTTGAGCTCCTCGGAGAGATATATGGCGGGTTGGCGTTCTCCACGCCACGCAGTCACTTCGGTGATCGCACTCCACGTCGGGGGCCGCGCAAGCGGCTGAAGGGGGCCACCATCGCAGATGGTTGAGCTCCTCGGAGAGATATATGGCGGGTTGGCGTTCTCCACGCCACGCAGTCACTTCGGTGATCGCACTCCACGTCGGGGGCCGCGCAAGCGGCTGAAGGGAGCCACCATCGCAGATGGTTGAGCTCCTCGGAGATATATACGGCGGGTTGGCGTTCTCCACGCCACGCAGTCACTTCGGTGATCGCACTCCACGTCGGGGGCCGCGCAAGCGGCTGAAGGGAGCCACCATCGCAGATGGTTGAGCTCCTCGGAGAGATATATGGCGGGTTGGCGTTCTCCACGCCACGCAGTCACTTCGGTGTTCGCACTCCACGTCGGGGGCCGCGCAAGCGGTCCTAAAGGGGTTTGTTGCCTTCTATGGCAGCATACCCGCGTTGTACGTGCTGCCGCTCCGGCGGTACGCATGTCCCCAGTCTACTTGGTCGCGCCAGCGGTCATGATTGACTCGTAGTTGGCTTCGGTAGGAGGGTCTCTGACCTCGTTGCCGTCGCCCCTGGCTCTACGGAGCCCTTTAGTTGTCGACCCGATACCCGGGCCGTACTTCTTGTCACACTTATCAGTCGTTAGTTATCATAATAATGGACGTACTTGACACCACCACGTTCACCGTTCCGTTCTTAGTCATGACCTCTCCGCAGGATGCAACACGCGCACTTCAACGTACAGGTCTTTGGGATGATGGGCGCCCTGCAGTACAGATAGCAACCGCGACAACAAAGCAACGGCAAGATCAGCGCCTATTTCTAGCATCGAAACGGAATTTGCAGAGCTGCACAAAACAAGCCAAAGCAGCTCCTTGCCGCTGACGCGTCGAGCCAAAGTCGACCATGTAGCCCGTTACGTATTGCAGCCTTCACACGTATGGCGTCTTGACCATTCATCCAATCAGTCTTGCAAAACGCACTTTGGAGCGTGTGAACCAGGGATGACGGTGTTCATATCGTCCGCAGCTCGTGGATCTTTGCCGTGCAATAGTAGTATCTGCGCATATGACAGTATAAGATGGAACAACTCGAACGTCTTAGCGACGCAGAAGCAGCAGCCGCTGCACGCGACAAACCCAATCAATGAAGGACGAATAACCTTTTGTGAAGGGCAGTCAGGCCTTCGAACTGCGCGTTTTACGCCAAAAACACAATTAATGGACGGTCAATCAGCAGCGCACCGATGTCGGTTGCGTTTCTAAGCTATCCTGACACGCGCTGGGTACGAGCAAATGATGCAAAGAGAGACAAGTCAGCAACTCGAAACCCGTATTCTCAACCCACTTTATCGGCTTCTTGATGGAGCATCGAACAAGCAAAATGTATTCCAAACAATCTCGTCGTGAAGCTATCGTGACTGCTCCACCACCTATCGCACAAGATCCCCCTGATCAGGTCTCGCACAAAAAGCATCCACCACGATCATACACATTGCTGCACACCTCTTTTCATTCCTAAGGCTGCACACACGTTGTACCGCGGCGCTTGTCGTTCCATTGCAGTTATCGACGCAGCTCATTTCCTTGAACGTTGAACGCCATCTAAACAAAGTGGCAACGCACATATTGCAACGATGTGAGACTACTGGTCAACGCCGTTGCCCCAACCATTGAAGGGTTACTTTTCCTGCCATTCTTATGTGGCCAAGCTACAGAGTGCCGTCAGGGGCCATGCACCTGCAACTTGCGTGCCACACTGTTCGCGCGACTGACACCAAGTAGCTTGATGCATGTCTTGTTACTAGTTCGCTAGTCAAAGTGAGCAAAAAACACGAGCGTAGAACGAGAAGGAAGAAAGCCACTAGGCGGCGGACAAAAAGCGAGCATTGAGTTCCAGCGCACAATTTCTGACGATACGACTGCGAGAAAAGGATGTCCACCCGGGCACTAAAGTATCAGCAATACCCAACATACCGAATGTTGAAGCTCTCGTGTGTCTGCAAACACGGCCAATAATGTAATTGATTGAGCCTGTTCCATAATATTATCATTTGTGATTATATGGCAATAGCGACTATCATGTGTAATATTCCCACTACAATACCACTAAGCTCAGTGATATTGTTGCAGGAACCCAAGGGTCTGCTCATTGCTTGATGTATCATTATATCAACCCGCCAATCGCTGCTAGACGCGCGCATGGGTGGTGACTAGACGTCATTATACATGCTTTGGTATTTATACAGTTAAGTTCGAACGAATAGGACAAGACACATTTTAGGACTCAAATATAGAGGATTGTTAATTCCACCACACTTTTTGCTATTTCCACCACACTTTTTGCTATTTCCACCACACTTTTAGCAAACTCCACAACGCCACACTTTTCACAAGTTTCGGCACACGACAAGTTACAAGTTTCACCACACTGTAACTTTTTATTTGATCAAAACAGAACAACAGCATCACACCATTTTCCACACAACCACATCATGACAATCTCAGCAACACACCGTCTTTGCGAATCGAGACGCGCTTATGGACCATGTCAAGAAGTTCGGCTGGAGGCAGGTCTCGAATTCACAATCAAACTATCGGACCACACGCGCACCCATCCGCGCGTGGAACTAGGTTGTGACCTTGGCGGCTAATTTCGAAAG